TGAGGAGATCCTCCCCCAGCCTGTAAGCATACTGATGATTCCTTCTCCCGAGCTGCAGCACCTTGTACTTGTCCTTGTTGAATTGCATCCTCTTCTGTTCCACCCACTTTTCCAACCTGTCCAGATCCACCCGAATTTCTTCCCTATCCTTTAGTGTGTTAACTTTACCCCATAATTTGGTATCATCTGCAAATTTGGACAGAGTGCTTTCCACACCCTCATCCAAGTCACTGATGAAGACATTGAACAGCACAGGTCCAAGGACTGAGCCCTTAATTTTTAATAAGTTTTTAATTTTCATTGCAATTTCTCAGAATTTTATTTTTCCAAAGCCTTTTCAGTGCCACATTGTGCTTCATTTTGTTTAATTTATAAAATATGTCCATTCTGCTCTCTGCTCATATTAAGTATTTTAAGAAATCACATTGTGTTGTGTTTTGTACTAACATCAACTACAGAACTTAAGCAACTCCTAATTTAAAGGAAACAAAACCCCTCATTCAAAACCCTTCCCACAGAAAAATTCTGACTAAATATAAAAGCCTTACTTCATACAGTGAAGGTCAATGAACTAAAACTAGTTGGGGAAGTGAGTTCCAGTTTTCTCACTGAGAACAGTATAGGTGAAATCTTCACGCTATTGAAGCCGGTTGGAATTTTGCCATTTACTTAGTGGAGCCAGAAATTCTTCCTGCACCCTGCTGTTCAGCCTTGGGACACTCAAATTTAGTTAGAGTAACTAAATCTATTTTTTCTAAATTGCTAATCAGCTAGGAAGGGGTATTCCCAAATTGACCCCTCTTTCAGTGCATTCTGTTATCAGCTTTCTCCACCTGATTCTTGACATTTTAATCTGATTCGTGCAAGTGTCTCAGCAGTTTTAACCACAGAACTTCATAGATCAGAATCAACAAGTTGATTTGCTTGTGAAAACAAATGCTGGGAAGGATGTGAAACACATATAATGGAGAGTTAAATAGATTGTGCTGTATTTCACATAGTGGAATTGGCAGCTACTTTAATATCTAGCTCCCCTTAAGTTTGCTGTAAACTAGGATGGCACCCACATTTTACATCCAAAGCTTCCAAGAAGACGTCAAGGCTAGTCATTGTGGTAGATCATGTACTTCTCTAGCGTGGAACAGTATAGGAGTGGATGACTGTCATAGTCTGCATTTCAGCATAATGGATGCCATTGTTTAATCAGCAAAGTGCAAGAAGGTAATTCTGATCACTGCTGCTTCGCTTAGAATTGGTCTGCAATTTTTCAATAAAATTGTTTTTGTTGGAAAATCATGACGTGTCAAAATTGAAACTTCCTGCAGGAAATTATCAGTTTGAATGAAAATTTTGTTGAGAGAGTTTTCTCATTTCCAGGATGGAATTTATTATCCACATGACAGAGAGAGGCAGAATGAATGATGTAGAATTACCATAGAATTGTGAGTAACCTGGTGATAAATGCATATATCTAGCAGGTGGGAGAGACAAATTGATTTCGGCAAGGGACAGACATTACACATGTACTGGTTTAAACTTGTAACAGAACAGATGTTCAGTTCACATAAACCAGTTTGAAAATGGCTGAAACCAGTTTGAGATAAACCTGGTTGAATGTAGTATCAGACTTAACTGATTTGGCTCAAACCATTTTATACAATGTCTGTCCCAGACCCCTTCCTGGATTAAAATAAACCAGGCACCCCCAGCATCCCAGCATGCTCTCCGGGCTGGGTGGGGCTCTCTGTTCCACTGCAGGGCTGGCCCCTCCTCTCTTCTCCCTTGCTGGAGCTTTGCACAGACTTGCAGGCACAGAGTGTCTGCCTGGCTTCTCCCTGCTAAGCAGGGATTATTTCCCCCTCCCCTCTGTTTTACACAGACACTTTAGCATTAGCTAGGAGATCACATGCTGGCTATAGTCTGTGCTGTGGGAGAGGACAGAGATAGAGAGGCTTTTTGGAGGTAATCAACAGGTAGCTTAATATCCTTCTGTGGAAGAGCTATTTAAGAGCAGTTCCATTAGTTAATGGAGAGAGGCTTTGTTTTCTTAATGAGTTGATAAACACTGAGTTAGGGTTGATAAACATTCCCTGCCAGGCAGCTCAGGTTGGGGACTGGGGGTGGGGGGGGAAATAATCGGAGCATCCTGCCAGGGCCTGGCCATGCCCCCATCAGTTCTGCCCTATGGAAGCAAAGGGAGGGTTGCTTTAGTGCCCCCCAGCTTCTAGCCTGAGCCATTGCAGCATGTTCCTGCATTTCTGGGATGTCTGTCTGGGTTACAAACTGATTTAGCCTAGCCAGGTTAGACTAATCTGCAAAGATTGAATCAGTTCAGGCTCAGGCTTTTTGAATGTCTGTCCCTAGCCTTCTTGGCACAGATGGAAATCAGTGACTATCCTAGGTTAGGAACTTGGAACAGGTCTGCAAGGATGCTTTGTCTGGAAACTAGCTTTATATTTTGGATTAAGAGTATAAAAGGAAGTCTCCCATCACAAGGAGGGACATCTAGGGAGATACATTTCTTATGCCAAATAGAAGCAGGTACAAATTCAGTGAATTTTTGGAGTGCCATTCTATTCCACTGAGATAATGCTCTTGGTGAGTTAATACACATCATGGTCTTTTAACAAAACAATGCTATGTTATGGACTTTAGGCAGGAACCCCGATTCAATACCTCTAATGGGCCTTTTGGCTAAGTACAGGTATTTGGGGATGCTAAGGGGGTTCCTGATCTAAATTAGTTACCCCAGCTGTGGCCCTTACATTTACAGACCCAGTTTCAGTGATCAAAAATAAATCTAAACCCCTAACTATACTGAAGTTCTGTGCCCACAGACCAGTCTAAAATGGCAGAATCCAGTTTAACATAGACCTAGAACAATGTAGTATCAGACTTACTCGAGCTAGATTGGATCACTGCACGGAACTTCTGTACCTGTGCAGCCCTAGGGCTAGGAAAGCCCAGCCACTTGCCCCAGATCCAGGGCTGCGCTTTCCCTA